CGACTTTAGAGGACTCTAGGTCCCGATGCTCCCTCTGAGGCCTGAGGCCCTGAGCCCACTCACTTCAAGACACAGGTCACCAGTTCCAGAGGCAAATCTGCAATCTGGAAGCCTGAGAAGACAGCAGCAGGGAAGGGAAGAGTGGGGGGGGGGTGCTGGAAAAGGAAGGAGAAAGAAAGCGATCACCCCCCACTCAAAACCACGGCCCTGCCAGGTAGGGCCCTGCCACATGCCTGTCTGCTTCGACCCCCAAGCTTCCAGCTGCCCCTTGAATAGTTCCCTTCCAAGGAGAGCCCTGGTTCCCCGGGCTAGCACCTGTCCAGACAGCATGAAAACTCCAGCGTCCGTAAGGTCTGGGTCTTCTGAAGTCCCCTCAGGCCTGACAAAATCCTGAGGGACTAGAGGATCCAGCCTGGGGTTTCCATGAACAACCCCACCCCTACCCTATGGCTTTTCTCTCCGGAATCATACTGGAATCTTGGGGAACGTGGTGTCTCAGCAGCTGGAGATGAGTCCCTCCAGCCTGCCCTCCAGGCCTGGCCCATGACGTAAAGCCTCAGAGAAGGGAAGGCCTCGGCTCAATGATCGCCTGTGACTCGGGAGGGGACGAAGGTGGGCACAGGGGCTACGAGTACCAGGGCAGCTGAGGGTCTGACAGACTGGCCCCCACCCAGCCCTGCCGCCAGAAGCTGTGGAGCTTTGGGTAGGTCCCTTCATCTTTCTGAGTCTCAGTCTCCTCACTTGGCGATGGGCATAACCACAGGCTCTGAAGTCAAGGTGGTAATGTGGGTAAGGGGACTGGCCCAGGCTCAGTGAGGGGAGGCCACCATTAGCCTGGCAATATCCCCCACCACAATCAACCTGGGCTTGAGAGAGTGAGGGAGAGGGGTGGCCCAGTGTCTGTCCCCAAGGAGCTGACGTCCCATGTGGGTGGGTACAGCCTGAGCTAGCCGCACGACCCAAAGGCATCTGGAAGGTGTGGATATGAGACCTTGAAGGAAGGCTCTCAACCCCTGAGAAAAGCATGCAGTGATGGGGGAACAGCATAAGTAAGCACAGAGATAGGAAGGTGCTCAGCCTACAGGAGCAATGTGGAAAGCCTGGTGGGTAGGGGCCCATCAGGCTGTGGCATCAGGGCCTGATGCTAATATTACGATAGCTGACATGGTGCCTGCTCTGCCACCAGAGGCCACATCCTCTCCCGTGAATTCTCACCACCAGTTTCTTAAGTAGATTCTATGATCTCAGTTGGGGAAACTGAGGTAAGGTCATCCCAATGGAGAAGGCCAGCTCTGAAGACCAACGCTTGAGCCCACAGGGCCTACACCTGACACCCAGCATGCCCCCAAACTGCCTCCTTCCAGGAGCTGGCAGGGTCCGCCCATCCACATCTGAGGTGCCAAGACCTGGCAGTGCCCACCTGCACACAGGCAGAGGCACAGAAGTGCTCACGCCACTTGTGACTCAATCTCTCCTTGGGGACACCAGTGTGACCGAGAATCCAGAGTAAGACTCACCCGCAGCTAGGAGGGGACTCATCTTAAAATGGGTTCCCTCCCTTCTCAGGGGTTAGCCTGACATGGCTGGCCAGGAGGAGGCACCCATAAAGGTGGGGCACAGGAGGGACAGCAGCAAGGGTTCCCCCCAATCTTCAACCCCAGGAGGATGTGAGCAGCTGGTAGCTCTGCATGTCAGCGGAGACAGCGGGCCATCGAGCCTCACCCCCTCCTCCCTCCTGCAAAAGCTGCAGCAGGTTGTTGGGGAGACAGGGGCCCAGATGTGTGCTGTTGCCTCCCTCTAATAGGGAGAGTCACTGGGAGGTGAAGATGCGGCTCAGAGGCCCAGACAGACACACGTCACCCACCATTAACCATAGCTAGACTGACGCATGCCCGGTCGCAGCACTCAGAAAAAGGAGCACACACTCCAGCTGCCATTAATCTGCTGGGGGGTCCAGACCCCTCAGGCTCTCTCTGCTGCCCACCCACTTACAGACGTGCTGGCCGGCACCATCACGAGCAGAGTGGGGCCAGGAGAGGCAGCCAGTAGGGTGCTCCACCTAGCACTAAGCTGGGACCCCACGGAGCAGGGGCCAGAGACAGGGGGCAGAGGTCCAACAAAGGTGACAAAAAAGGAGGGCAGGTCAGGGTGGGCACAGGGAGATGAAAGGGGTGGGCAAAGAAGCGAGAGGGCGGTGGAGAAATGATGAGAGACGGGAAGAAGCGGGCAGGGGAGGGAAAGAGACTGACAGATTTGGGAGAAGAAAAGAAAAGGAGAAGCAAAGCAGTGAGGGCTGCCCCTCAGCCAACAGCTGCCATTCACAGCCCCTCCAGCCACCTGCCACCAGGGCTGGGGTGAGCATAGCTAGAAACCGGAGGAGGCAGGTGAAAGGGAGTGCGTGCTCTGACTCCATCTCACCCTCCCACCCCCAGACTCATGAGTGTGTGCATGCACATACATGTACTTGCGCACGCGTGGCTGCCTCCTTGTTTGAAACCCTGATCCAGGTCCAAGTGGGGTGAGAGAGCCCCCCAAAACCAAAGCCCTGTCTTCCCTCCAGCTCTGACTCCTCTGCCCTCCTCGATTCAGCGGCAGCCTTGGTCTGTTTCGCCTGATGGGCAGAGAGTCACACTGCCAGAGCGATTACAGAAATAACGGCCCCTGGAACCACAAGCCCACACTTGCTTAAAGCCCAGCAGCTTGAAAAGCTGAACCCCATCGCACTGCCAGACACCAATGAGGACATGACTTTCCCTGTCTAGGGCCCTTTCCACTGAGGGGTCATCACTCCAGTGCCATGAGACTGAAGGTCCCACTTCCCACCTCAGAAAGCCACCTGTGTCCAAGTCTCATCCTAGCTTGGCCACGCTGACCCTGGAGAGTTCAGGGAGGTGACCGCCTTCTTCCCCAGAAGCCCCACAACAGCAGCCTCACCCTTTATGTCAATTCAACAAAAGCCCCAACTCCAACTAGCTGCGGTCACGCGCAGGGGCAGAGGGCTTCCTCGATCCCTTCCCCTTTCTCCCTCCAAGGATCAATGGGCATCATATCTGCAGGAACAGGGCAGCTGAAGGGCGCTGGCTGTCATGGTAAACCCTGTGTGTCGTCACACCATTAGTCACCTCCCCCTGGACCCTCGGAGCTGCGCAGCCCCCACTCCACCCCCACCCTCATTCTCTAATTACAGTCTCCAAGACATGTCCCAAACCCTCAAATTAGCTCCAACTCTATCGACAAGAGAAGAGCATCCAGCTGGAAATGTGCTGCTGCCATCACACCCGCCTCACCATCTTCTTGCTGGGGACAGAGGGACAGGTGTCCCCTCTGGTCAGGGTCTCACATTATCCTTCCAAGGGAGACCCATGGAAGCCCAGCATCCATCTGACCCACTGCAGGTCGGAAGGAGAGGGAGCCAGGTGGGAAGAGATGAAAAGAGACGTCTATGTAAACCTTCACTGGAGGAGCTATGAACCGGCTAGGGGAAATAATTATGGCTTGGCTTTGAGGAAAAAGGAACAATAAAAAATAATGCTTTTGCTCTTTTTAAACACTGTGGCTTAAGTCAATTGTCATCACAACAAATGAAAGACGATAACGCACCCACAAGCCCTGAACTTCCCTATGATTCTCTTCTCCCTACACACCCCCCACATACACACTCGAAAAATCCAGACGGTTGACAGAGGACACGTCCATGTGGCACCTATAATTTGCCAACTGATCACCCGCTTGAGCACAAGGCAGGCTGTGCGAGGAGAGAGATGACAAGACGGAGAAGGACTCAGAGCGGTGCCTTTCCCGAGTTTGTTTTTCCCTCATCTGGGAGGACCTACAAACGGAGTCGGCCGGTTTTGAGGCAGAACCAGGGGCTCCTACCCTTGGGTGGAACTGGTCTAATGACGCAGAGCCAGCCTCTCCCCTTTTCTGAGACCAGACCCTTCCCCTTGTCCACAAGCAGCCAGGCTACTCTTTTCCCAAACCCCCGGCCTGGCCACTGGTGAAGGGAAAACAGGGACAGGTGGCTCCTCAGGGAGCCAGGAGACAGAAAACAGACAGCAAGGTGGTCACAGTGCCCCAAAGCCAACATGGGTGAGACGCATCTGGGCACTGACATAGGCTGGGGCATGGTGCCCACAGAAATAGCTGCTGTCCTAAAGGCCACATGCACTGAATGCCCACTCCCAGCCCCAGACATATTTAACCGAGCTCACCCCAAGGAAGAAGCCAAGTTTGCAGGCTCTTGGGGAGAGAGAGAAGCTCAGAAGGACCAGAGAACCGGCAGAAGCTGGCGGGGCCAGGAGATGCGATTTCCCTGTTGGCCGCAGCAGCAGGGGCAACTGGGGTCCTCTCTGCCATTCACCTTCTGCCCCCACCCAGCACCTTCACTTCCCAATTGGGCACACCAGGGCACCCTTCCCCCAGGTGTAGTGGGGGGGACACCAAGAAGAGGGGATACTGAGCCCCTCTGTAGCACTGGCTACAACAAGGTGCTCGCAACCTCTGCATCCAACCCTCGCCCTCAAAGGAAAAGGCCAACGAAGACAGGTGTGGGGGTGCCCCCCCCCACCTCTGGCTGGTTCCCACCCGGGAGGAAACGTGGGGCAGACGAGAGGCTCCAACTCCGCTGGGCAGGGGTCGCTGGCCGCCTCCTCACCCGACCCCAGGTTCCCCTCTCACCGGGACAGCGGCAAGAGAATCGCGGGCAAGCTCAGACACCCCCCCCCACCCCCCATCTCGAGGCTTGGAGATCTTGCTCTGCTCCGTTCGCGGGGGAGGGAGGTGGGGAAGCGGTTGGGGGAAGAAGGGGCACCGCGGGGAAGTTTCGCGACGCAGCCAGAAGCGCCCGGACCGCGGCTGCCCGCCGTCTGGGCTTCGGGCCTCCGCCCCCCGGGCACAGTGGGGAGCGGGACCCAGCGCCCTCGCCCGGTACGGGCACGGGCCAGGGGGCAGGAGGGGACGCAAGCTCAGCCCGGGTCCCGCGCTCGGCCGAGGCCACTTACGTGTGCTGCTGGGGGAAGCTGTAGGCAGAGGCGCCGGGGGCGGCGAGCAGCGGGAGCAGCAGCAGTGGCGGCAAGAACAGCAGCCGCGGGCGCGGGGGCCCGGACGCGGGGCTCCGGGCGCCGGGACGGGGGCCGCGGCGGGGCCAGGGGAGCACGGTCCGCGCGGGGCCGGGCCGGGAGGCGCCGCAGGTCCGAGCCGGCACCGCCATGTTTCCATTCAAGACGCGGCGCCGCGGGGAGGGGGAGCGGCGGCGGGCTGTGGGGCGCGGGCGGCAAGCCGGCCTCTCCTCCTCCGCCTCCTCGCGCGGGGCCTCCGGGGCTGCACGGGCCGCAGCGCCTCTGCGGGCGGCCGGCTGCGCGCCGCGATCCGTCCGCCGCGCTGGCGACTAGCGCTCTGAGCGCCCGGCCCCGGACTGGTGCTCAAATAGCGGCCGCCGCCAACCTGCCCTGCTGGCCCGCGCGGCCGAGCGGAGCCCGGGCGCGGGCGCTCCCTGCGTCCCGGTCGCGGCCCAAGCTCCGGGTGTGCGCCCCTGTCTGCACGCCTTAGACCCGATACTCCACTCCGCCGCCCCCGCGGGGAGAGCCCACCGCCCCGCGGCCCAGGGCGGGCACATACGTGGCCTTTCTCGGGGCTCGACCTTCAACAGGCTTAAGGCCTGGAGTCACAGGTTTAGTGGTGGAGTGGCAGGCTTCCGAGAGAACAGAGAGCAGGGCAGCGTTGCTGCGCTCACCCCTCAGTGGCTGCAGCTACCTTCAAGAGTCCTCTCAGGGGAACTGGGTCCCCAGCTCCTGCCAGAAAGAAAGGGCCTGAGTCTCCAGACTCCCTGAGCGAGAACCTGGGTCCAGTTGCACAGTTGTGAGAGTCTGGGAATGGTAGGATGCAGCCCTCTGCAGCCGCTCATTTCACTTCCCGGGGCTAAGCAGGCACTGTGTGCAGACCAGCCCTAAGCCCCCAAGGCTTGCACAGCCTCTAGACTCCTCCAGCGCCAGGAAGTTCAACCCTGCACAAATCATTTCTGTCCTGAGGACCCCTGGCTCTTTTGAACTGCAGGGAGAAGGCTGGGGGGCTGGTGTCAATTCTTACTCTGTAGTTGTGGGCCTCTCAAAGCCTAGGTCTCCTCCCTTGTGAATGCTTGTGTGAGTGCCCACCCCCTCCGGGATGAAGTGAGAATGGGAGTGAATTGCTTGGTAACCTAAGCACTCCTGGCTGGGGGAGAGAGAGCATCCCTGAGATTCCCCAGGGCCCTGCTCTGCCGCTGGTGCACATAGGATGAGAGAACGCTCCCTGTCAGCCTGGCATGGCCAGACCCTCTTAGCAGTAACTACCCAACGACTCTGTGCTGAACGTGAGGAGTAAGGGATAGTAACCACCTGGGCAAGAGTGGTTCCTATCTGGGTGAATTGCCCATCACCCACTCACAAGTCAGTCTGAAGAGGATTTGCAGTTGAGGAGGGGAGAGTGGTGGCCCCTGGACTGAGGAGGGCAGAGGTCAGGGGTGAGAACCAGGGCCCAGGACAATGTTTACTTGCTCCCCATTTCTACCTGGGCTTTTCCCACCCCTGCCCCACCCTCATAAGCCAGGGCTTGACAAGAGAACAGCTTTGGAGCTTCATCCTTATCTGATCTGAGTGAGTCTTCAGGGGCCTGACTGAGGCCCAAAACATTATCAGAGGAAGGCAGTGCCCTGGGCCCCAAACTCCTGACAGGCCTCGGGGGCTGGTGAACAGGAAGTGCCTGCTGGACTCTGGGAAGCCAAGGCCTGCCAGCTCTGTGGAGGACAAGCAGGGCCCTCCCTCACTGAGCCAGATGCCTGACTGTGCCAGAGGTCCCCACCCCCACCTCTGGGCAGGGCAGTGCCTCCAGGCTGGACAGAATTGTGGGGGGTGGGGGTGGGGGTGG